CCTCCTTCCTGGGCGGCGACGGCATGCTGGTTCGCGCCGACCGATCAAACAACACCAAGCTCGTGCTTGTCGCCGAATTCCCAATATTTGGCATTGTGACGGGACTGGCAAGAATAAAATTGCAACACTCCAAGTCAGGGGGTGAAGCTCTCTTGATTGCTACAAGAGTTGCCAGGCTGAGCTTGGTCCAGTGGGATCCCGAGAAACACGCACTCGAGGATATCTCCATTCACTACTACGAGAAAGAAGAACTAGAGGGCTCGCCATTCGATGGTCCATTGAACAATTACCGCACATATCTTGCTGCCGATCCAGGTTCGCGATGCGCCGCCCTCAGGTTTGGCCCCAGATACATCGCCTTTCTACCCTTCAAGCAAGTCGATGAGGACATAGATATGGATGACTGGGATGAAGATGTGGATGGACCTCGGCCGGCAAAAGAGCCGTCAGCTGCAGCGGCCACAAATGGAACTAGCAACATAGCAGATGTACCATACTCAACATCATACGTCCTCCCTCTACCGCAGCTTGATCCCAGTCTCCTTCATCCTGTGCACCTCGCCTTCTTGCATGAGTACAGAGAGCCCACCTTTGGCATCATATCCTCGACACAGCGCCGCTCCCACACCTTACCTCGCAAGGACCACTTCTCTTACAAGGTCTTCACGCTCGACTTGCAGCAGAGGGCCTCGACCGCGATTCTCTCCGTCAACAACCTACCCCAGGATCTCTTCAAAGTCATCGCTCTGCCAGGTCCCGTCGGTGGCGCTCTACTCGTCGGCACAAACGAGTTGATCCATATAGATCAGTCTGGAAAGCCGAACGGTGTGGCCGTCAATGCCTTCACCAAGGAAACCACAAACTTTCCTCTTGCAGATCAGTCTGATCTGGATTTGCGGCTCGAGAATTGCTACATTGAACTCATGTCTGCAGAGAATGGGGAGTTGCTCATGGTCCTGAGCGACGGGCGACTGGCCATCATCACTTTCAAGATCGATGGACGCACAGTCTCAGGAGTCAGCGTTAAGCTCGTCCCAGCCGAAGTTGGCGGCAATGTTGTTCAATGCAGTGTTTCCTCCATCTCGAAGCTCAGCAAGAATGTTTTCTTCCTAGGTACTACGGGAAGTGACTCGCTTGTTCTCGGCTGGACACGAAAGCAGGCGCAGAATGCACGCAAAAAAACACGGTTGGTCGACGATTCATTCGAGTACGACCTGGACGATGAGGATATGGATGATGGCGACGACGACGATCTGTACGGTGAAACGACGACAACAACGATTCAACACGGTGCGACTGCCAATGGGGTTTCTAAAGGAGGAGACTTGAGTTTCCGCATCCATGATTCCTTGCTGAGCATAGCGCCTATCAAGGATATGGTGTCAGGCAAGCAAGCATTCGTCCCAGATAGTGAGGAGGAGAAGAACTCAATCGGTGTCGTATCTGACCTGCAGCTCGCCTGTGCGGTGGGTAAGGGCAACGCTGGCGCTGTTGCTATCATGAATCAAAACATCCAGCCGAAGGTCATCGGCAAATTCGAGTTTCCAGAGGCTAGAGGATTCTGGACCATGTGCGTCCAGAAACCCATTCCGAAATCCTTGCAAGGCGATAAGGGGGCCAATGCCGCAGTTGGCAGCGAGTTTGACGCTTCATCTATATACGACAAGTTCATGATTGTTTCTAAAGTCGATCTAGATGGATACGAGACGTCAGATGTTTATGCTCTTACTGGTGCAGGCTTTGAGGCGTTGTCAGGGACCGAATTTGATCCCGCGGCTGGCTTCACCGTGGAGGCGGGTACTATGGGAAAACATCTGAGGATCATTCAGGTTCTCAAATCGGAAGTACGGTGCTACGATGGAGGTAAGTTGTGTTGCACTCCGTCTGGAGTTTCGCCATCGTCGCTAAACGTTAATCAGATCTCGGGTTGAGTCAAATCCTTCCGATGCTCGATGAGGATACCGGTGCTGAGCCACGGGTGATCAGCGCCAGCATCGTTGACCCTTACCTTCTTCTCATCCGGGACGACTCGAGCATTATGGTGGCTCAGATAGACAGCAATTGTGAGTTGGAGGAGATGGAAAGAGAAGACGACACATTTCTCTCTACGAAGTGGCTTGCCGGATGCCTGTATAAAGACACCCACGACCTCTTTGGCCAAAAGACAAAAAATGAGGCCACGACAGAAGACCGCAACATTTTCATGTTCTTGCTGAGCGCGGCAGGGGCTCTCTATGTGAGTATCAAACATCATCCGGCTGGGGCACATTTTGCTAACCTATTGACAGATATACGCTCTCCCTGACCTTTCCAAGCCAGTCTACGTTGCTGCTGGCTTGACCTACGTCCCCCCATTCCTCTCTGCAGACTATGCCGTCCGAAGAGGCACAGTACAAGAGACGCTGACTGAAATCTTGATGGCCGACCTGGGGGACGCTACCGCAACTTCACCACACCTCATCGTAAGTCTTCTCGCATTGAAGGAGATGGTAGCTTCCGCTAATCTTTTGTAACAAAAGCTTCGTCATGCAAATGACGATCTCACTATTTACGAACCGATTCGTCTCACAAAACAGGACGAATCCGTTGGTCTGGCCAAAACTCTTCATTTCCGCAAAGTCAACAATCCTTCTCTTGCTAAGAGTCCTGTCGAAGTTGCCGATGACGATGCCAACGAGCAACCGCGGTTTGTTCCACTTCGGGCCTGCAGTGACATCAACGGTTACAGCACCGTCTTCTTGCCTGGCGCCTCGCCGTCCTTCATCATCAAATCCGCCAAGAGCAGTCCGAAGGTTGTCGGCTTGCAGGGTATTGGTGTGCGCGGCATGAGCTCATTCCATACAGAAGGCTGCGAGCGTGGCTTCATTTACGCTGATTCCGAGGGCCAAACGCGAGTCACACAGCTTCCCACGGACGCGAACTTTGCCGAACTGGGCGTTTCTGTGCGCAAAATTCCCGTGGGAGATGCGGTTGGCCTGATTGCCTATCATCCACCAATGGAAACCTACGCCGTTGCGTGCAGTGTCTCTGAGGTCTTTGAGCTGCCGAAGGACGACGACTACCACAAGGAGTGGGCTAAGGAAACCACAATTATATACCCCCGGACCGAACGCGGCATCATCAAGCTCATGAGTCCTACCACCTGGTCCGTCATCGACACGGTAGAGCTTGAGCAGCACGAGGTAGCGATGTGCATGAAGACGCTTCACTTAGAAGTCTCCGAAGAGACCAAGGAGCGCCGTATGCTCATCACCATCGGGACCGCTATTAACCGCGGCGAGGACCTGCCCATCCGCGGCCGTATCCTCGTCTACGATGTCGTTCCCGTCGTCCCGCAACCTGGCCGCCCGGAGACGAACAAGAAGCTCAAGCTCGTTGCTAAGGAGGAGATTCCCCGCGGTGCCGTCACCGCCATCTGCGAGGTGGGCTCCCAAGGACTCATGCTCGTCGCCCAGGGACAGAAGTGCATGGTGCGCGGTCTTAAGGAGGACGGCACGCTATTGCCTGTCGCCTTCATGGACATGAATTGCTACGTGACGGCGGTCCGCGAGGTCCGCGGTACGGGTTACTGTCTCATGACGGACGCTTTCAAGGGTGTCTGGTTCGTTGGGTACGCCGAGGAGCCGTACAAGATGATGCTCTTTGGCAAGAGCGCGGGCAAGTTCGAGGTGTCGACGGCCGACTTTGTTGTTGCCGGCGATGAGCTGCATATTGTTGTCTGCGACAAGGATGGCGTGATCCACGTGATGCAATTCGATCCAGAGCGTAAGTCCAACTCTTGAGCACTATCCAGCCGTCCACAATCTCAGAAACTAATACTTTTTAAAGATCCTAAATCACTCCAGGGTCATCTCCTCTTGAACCGTGCTTCCTTCTCTGCGGCACCAAACCACCCAACAGCAACCCTCTCCCTCCCCCGAACCTCAGCATCCCCGTCACCCGCCAATGCCTCCAAGAACCCGCCCACGACCCTCCTCCTGGCCTCCCCGACAGGCGCCCTCGCCTCCCTGAATCCCCTCGGGGAGCAAGCCTACCGCCGCCTGACGTCCCTCGCCAACAGCATCGCCGGCGCCGTGCCCCAGGCCGCGGCGACGAACCCCAAAGCCCATCGCCTACAGCCCCTCGACGCGCGCACCCCCGGCGTCGACACCAGCGCGGGCCGCAGCATCGTCGACGGCGCGCTCCTCGCCCGCTGGAACGAGCTCGGCGCCGGGCGCCGGTTCGAAGTCGCCGGCAAGGGCGGCTACGGCGACGTCCTCGAGGTCAGGGGCGAGTTGGAAGGTGTCTTGGGATGGAGCGGCATGGCCTACTTTTAAAGAAGCAGAAACTTTTCCGCCATTCTTTTAGATAGATCTAAAAATGAGCCGAGAATTTGGAATTTAGGCGAATGTTTGAGAGAACAGAATGGGGGGTCGAGAACGAAAAGCAAGACAAGGAGCTAGCTGCTGATGGGTTTTCTGGTCTTCTGGCAGCGTTCTCTTACTAGGGTTAAGCAAACATCCGAGATAGAGCAAAGCGTAGCGCTCGTGTAGTATCCTCCATTCCAAGGCGTCATTTTTGCGATCGACAAAGACTTTGTGAAATAATGTTATCACAGCGAGTACATTAGGATGTGGGACGATTATTGACGCACATGGTGTAGAAGATGTAGAAAATGTTCATACTGATGGGTATACTATTTACTTAAACTAAGAAAATTTCCGCTTCTTTTGATGATGCGGTATGTCATTTGCAAGCTCTTGCTGTTTGGCAGAATGTTGATGCCAACTCGGCCCCATCAACGTCTTTGCTCATTGACAGTCAAATGCATACTGCGCACTCTGTCTCACTCTAGCAATTTTCCCGCCATGAGGCATCCTCGTTCGGGCACGAAACCTCTAAATCGTACACGTGCCGCAATAGGCGACACTAACTGAAATGCTAGTGAAAATCGGCGTTTGTTAAATCATTAAGTCTTAACGCCATGTAGAAAACAATCGAATCGTCTTTGCGAAAGACATCTACGCCGCAGCGTGGTTCTTGCGACGGATGCTGCCGAAACGACGCTTCAGGCTGTCGCCGAAATGCTTGCCGGTGCTGTTGTGGCGATGGACGTCGGCGCTGTTGGAATGTCCCTTAGGCAACTCGGAGGGGCCGGGTCTTCCGTCTGCAGCATTGCTGACACTGCGCTGACGTACCATTGCCCCGTTGTCCTTACGTGACTGAGCGTTGATGCCGGAGCGCATCTCGTATTCTGCGGGGCTGTTGCCGAGAGAAGCCTTACGCATGCGCTTCTTCTCCTTAAGGTCTCTCTCGTAGGTGTAAGAAGGCTCTCCCTTTCCCTTCAAATCATCAGGATGATATTGCTGTCTATCGTTAGTCTCAAACTCACGTTGCAAATTTTCAGGGCCGGTGTCGACTTACGATTCCATCCCATCTCTTGTAAGCGCCGCCTTGGTTATTGGGCTCACGCATGAGATCGGCTCCTTCCTCATAGTTCATAACATTGCCGCTCATGTCAGTGCCACCGGCGGGAATAAGACCGGTACCTTGCAAAGGCACATGCTTGTCCAGGGAATCCTGAATGTATTCGCGAGGCGTAGCCCTCAAGGCCTCCATGTTGGACTCCCTCACAGCCTCAACAGGCGCATACTTCTTGTTGCGGTTGCGGGATGCCAAAGTGGCATCATAGGGACCGCCGTGATGGTAGACGCCGCCGATACTGTCGAGCGAGTCAATGGTGTCCGTCACGGGGCCATATTTGCGCGTTCTAAGGTGAGGCGCGCGGTCCGCGGCGCGCTGCTCGCGCTTGATCATGTCTAGAGGTCGATGAGACATATCGCCGGGGAATCTCTGGTTGATGGAACTGGAACGTCTGAGACCGCTGGAGCCTTGGTGTGAGTTCACGCTCTTGCTGCGCTGAACTGAAGAATCGGCTTGGGTTCCGTTTGCCTCAGCGATAGAGCGAGTGCGTGCGCTGATGCTTCGAGTGACACTTGTGCTTGGTGGAAAGCGATTGCTTGGCGAAGACGGGCTTCGGAGACCGTTGCTTCGAACACTGGTACTGCGGCCTAGGGGATGGCCTGGCGAAGACGGTGATGTTGGGGAAGCAGGTCCTCTAGACAGGGACACCGAAGCGCGCTGGTAAGTCGGTGAAAATGGATTGGATGAATGAAAGCTCGATCGCGTTGGGCTTGCGGATGCAGGCGGAGTGGGATACGATGAGGTACGACTGTGAGCTTTGTGGCTGGTCTGGCTCTTGTCGCTATTCTGAACTGGTTCTTTGCCTTTCTTCTTCTGCGAGAAAGTTCGAAGCAGTGGATCGGGGTTTATGAAAGAGCTTCCGGGACCTGTTTCTTGGCTTGGTTCGGGAGCAGTAAGAGGGTCGAGCAAGTATGCTTTAGCCTACAAGAGGTGAGTTATTTGATGAGTTGGATTTGGAATGGTAGAACAAATGTGAGTCAAGTTCAAGTAACATGAGGAGATAGGAAGTATAAGAGCAACCAGAGGCCGCGCATGCTTGTGTGGAGGGACCCGTATTATTTACGTCGTCAAGGGCTTAGCTGCAGTACGAATGATGTGAGGCAGAGTTCGGAGCTGTTCTTGGAAATCCGGCAGATTGGATGGGCAGTGACGCAAGAAGGGACTCCAAAGCAGCGTGGTCGGGGTGGCTTGAGCCGTGCATTGCAGGGGACCCGTCCGTACCTTAGCGACCAGCACATCTAAGTTGGCAGGGGTAGCTTGGACGGAGAGGGTGGCTTTGAAGAACAAGTTCGGGCGCAAGCAGCTGGGGCCGTCGGGTGCCCTGACAGGATAGAAAGGATGGGCGAGACGGGACGATCGGCTTCGACCAAGGCTGACGACACTTGAACAAGCTGACTGGTTGGGCCGAGACTTGCTTGGGTGCCCGCCCGGGAGTGACGGAATTTGGAACGTTGGGAGACGGGCTAGAAGGGCAATGATAAGGCCGCAGATGCGACGGTGACGGGATCGGAAATGTGGAGAAAAGCGAGAGCAGAAAAAGAACCGTGGGCGATGACGATGTTGGCAGTAGCGCGCAGTCGGGAAATGAGCAGAAAGATCATATTGACAACAGCAGCAACTGGCAGTTGTAATGGTGCGTGCTGCGCTGGGGTAGATGGAAGTGAATTGGAGTTTGTCCAGGCCATTGACTTACCCACTGCTTGTCGGATCCGTCCATGGCTACTGACGTCGATGCGACGATATCGGTGAATGGGTGTGTATCCTTACGGTCAGGTAATCGGGTTACCCGGTGCACAGGCGAAGTCGCGAAGACGGAGTCAAGGTAGGGATAGAGATGAGCAAGTGGTCTAGCGGGCGCCTCGAAATAGGTCGGCAGCTCGTTTACTGGAGATTGCGATGTTTATTTCGAATGATCCGAAAGCGAGTCCGTCCTTTGCCAAGACAATGAAGTGATCTCGGTGTGGACAGTGTATGCGACACACCGAAGGTGAGAATGCTGATGGTAGTGGGACGGTTGAGGTGTTGTGTCAAAAAAGAAGCATGCGAGATGCAAAGCGAAGCAATGCAATGCAGACAAGAGACGAGAGTTGAGAGAACGTGGAATCACAGGTCGCACCAAAGTAGGCGCGGGTGCCTTTTTGATAGTTTCCAGCGTTGTCCGTCGTTCCGTTTGGTGGGAAAGAAGTAAGGTGCTTGCCAGGCGAGGGGCAATAGAGTCATGAGCATGAGGGTGGGCGAGATGCCGACGACAGGCACAGCCAGTCTAGGCCCGTTCTTACCTTGGACCTGTAGACCCCGTCCTTGTAAGGCAGGTCGGCTGCATGTGAGTGAGACTACAAGCATTCGTACCTTAAGATGTACATAGCAAGGTAAAGTAAGGGTAGGTGAATGTGAGTAAGTGAGTGTGTTCAGTGTGCGAATGCAGCAAGCGCAGAGAATTCTGCGCTTGTTGCTTGGACTTCCGGGAAGATGCCAGCATGGGAAGTGACCATCATGGGACCTGCGCTGACTGGGGCAGCCGAGCTTTCCATTGGTGACCTGTTCACCTACTACATGCCTTACTGCATAAGGTAGCAACCTCGTTTGTGGTGTTTTTTGTGATTTGTGGCTGCAGTGACAAGGACCCGGACTTGGGAACTTTCATGTCTGGTGGGAAGGAGGGGAGGGGATGGAGGGGACAGAAAGGGACTGGACCGAGACCGCATGACTGAATGGTGTGGGCAAGTACGCGAGACGGCGGGGAACCTGCTACCTACCTTACCTTTACTGTCCGAGGGTGCCTTCCATTTGCAGTGTTGGACAATTTTCTCAAAGGACGGGAAGTCACTGTCCAGGATAATAGTACCAATTGATTGGAGGCTCTCCCTCGTACGATACCTGCTGCCGTACCTTGCATTACCTATCTTGCCTTCCTTCCTGAACAGGTTGAAGAAAGAATATCAGCACCCATCGCCACTTTCTCCTCGACATGTTCGCTGATCAAGAACTTCGCATTGTCCCTTGCTCCAGCATCACGAGATCGGCGCCGAACCACTTCTACGTACTATCCCCCAGTCTCTCCGACATATCTCACGTGCGGTTCCATCTTCTCCTCTTCCCCTCAGCGGCTCCGCTCAGACTGTCACGATCCCTGCAGGGTCTTGCAACGGCATCCTCGAGGGACCGCGAATAGGTAGGGCAAGACACGAGAGTAAACGAAACATTTGCCCGCTAAATTGACTTAGCTCAGCCACAGGCACCCGATAACGGGACACGCGGACCCTTGAACAACGTCTGCTGCACAGTACTCGGACATCGCATTGGTTACTGAGCCCTACGTCATGCCATTGGCAAAGTAAAAAAGTCCTCTAGCTAGGGGATCGGCAACCGCAACATCCCACTTCACCTTTCCACCAATACACCCAGCTTCTACTCTGTACGGAGTACACTATGTACCCTTTAGCTTCCTGGTATCCCGCTAATGTCGCAGGGCTGATGTGGCAGCCGCAAAATCATGAAAACTAATCAGACTTAGTCTTGGTAGTGCTGCGCAAAAATAGAGTCGGACTGCGCGGACATTTGGACGTAAACGGGACCGACACCGGCACCCAGTATGAACAAAGGGACGGTGATGCAACGGAGCCTCCGTGGCCGAAGCGTCCACGTACGCTCCATCCGCCTCCGATGTTTCCACTCTGTAAGCACTCAACACGCAAGGGACTCGCGGCATATTCAGGCCGCCCAACGGGGGCATACGGGAAGGGTCCGGTCCACGTCCCATCGCCCCTCTTGTCAGGGCAATGCTTGCTCGCGATACCTGGAGGGAACACGTCGCCCAACCGGGCACGGCCTTCACCGCCAGCAACTAAGAGCAATGAGCTTAAAATTACGGTCATCGGCATTTCCTTACAGGCCAAAAGAAAAATCGAGAAATGGGGCTCTCATTTGCGCAACCTTATGCCGAACTCATAGCAGAGAGAGACTCGCGATCAAAGTATTGCCAGATAATGTGCTAGAGGAACCTCCCAAATTCGTGAACACGTTGTAAGGCAAGAAAAGCCTTTCTGTAGCCTGGATGCCTGGCACCAGTGGGTGCAAAGGCGTTGCTCTGCGTTGCTCTGCGTTGCGTGCTTAGGCGCACCTCGATCGAGATCTTGCAACAAAGCTTCGGCCGTGTTGTGCTTCTCAACACAGGCAGCCCGCTGCGGCCGGTGCCCGCTTCACCCTCTTCCACATACGGGCACCAAATGCCTTCGTCCTGTATTGCCACCCTTCCCAATCACCATTAGACGCTCTCAGGCGACGAGGTGTTGGATCAAGACTTGCTCAATGCCTATTGGCTCGATTACCTTGTCACTGACGCAGAAACACGCATCACAAGGATCTTCTCTCCGGCCTTCTTCTTGTCGGTCCCTGGCACCCGGTAATGGCTCTGGTGGACTACTCGTCTTCTGACTCAGCTTCAGAGGCCGGGTCACCTCCGGCCAAGCGGCGCAAAGAGGATACTGATGGCTCCGTGCTAGCCGGCTCTGCATCTGGCGCCGGCGCCGGCGGTCAAAGAGGAACGCGGCAGAGCCCCCCGGCCTCCTCGACTACGAAGGAGACAATTGGCGGCACATTGACGCTTCCGCCCCTCCCAGCCGAGTTCCACGACCTGTACGCTTCTACGGTCCGAAATGCCACTGCTGACAACCCAGCCCTGCACCAGGGCCGAAAGAGGACCATCCCCCATATTGTCGGCAACTGGCCTTCTCACGTATACGTCGAGTGTGAGTCTCGACTGTTTCATTCTCCCATTGCCACACCCACCTGAAATCATCACAACTAATCTCTGCGTGTAGGGCATCCCTCTGCGGACCAGCATTCTCTCCTCACTGCTCTGCTGGATGAAATCGCGCCTTTGCTTGGCACGCGGGAGCTGACCTCGCTCTTAACTTCGGACCTCAACGCCCCTCTGCCACTCCACATCTCGCTCTCGCGGCCTCTGTCCCTGACCACGGCTCAAAAGGACGCCTTCCTCTCCGCCTTGACGTCTTCATTGTCCTCCGCCACCGGCGAGTTCAGTCTATCGCCCCGTGGCCTGGGCTTCTTCAAATCGCCAGACTCGGACCGGGCCTTTCTCGTACTCCGCGTAGCATGCCCAGCCGCCTCCTCGCAAGGTGACACCAGCACCACCGGCAGCAACCCGCAGCTCCGTACGCTTCTCAACAAATGTAACGATGTCGCCGTCCGTTTCGGCCATCCGCCCTTGTACCAAGCCCACGCGACGGAGCTGGTCGACGACGCGTTCCACGTGAGCATCGGCTGGGCGTTTGGGCTCCCCGAAGAAGACGAGTGTCTGCGCACCTATGGCCTGCTGAAGACGCCGCAGTTCC